GAAATTTCCTGACAGTTGGAGCAATTAATCAGTGGAAAAACTTGCCTCCAGAAGTTGTGAATTCTCCAACATTGGAAGTTTTTAAGAAGAGATTGGATAACCATTTGTCTGAAGTGGTGTAGGGTTTCCTGCCTAAGTAGGGGGTTGGACTAGAAGACCTCCAAGGTCCCTTCCAACTCTGTTATTCTATTCTATTCTATTCTATTCTATTCTATTTCAGCACTACTAACCTCTATCCTGCAAAAAAAAAAACCCACCTTTTTTTATAAATAAGAAGAAAAACTATTCTATACTTCTTGGAAAGTATATACAAAATATGCTTCTTGTGTTTTTATAAGTAATATAACAGGAATGGTATTTAAATTCATTTTTTTCCCCAACCAGCAAGACATGCGTGAGCACGAGTGTCCAAGAGAAAAATTATACAGCCTCTTTCAGATTTAAGTTTGCTGAAATAAAACCTATCCCCAAGTATATAGATTATAGCATTGATGTGCAAAATGTGTTTTTTTTAAAAAAAATATATAACGGGAATAACATATTCATTTTATTTCCAAGTAGCACAGTTGCATGAGCAACTGTGTGCCAGAGAAAAATATACAGCCTCGTTCAGTTTTAAGTTTGTTGAAATAAAAATTATTTCCAAGTATATAGATTATAGCATTGATGTGCAAAATGTGTTTTTTTTAAAAAAAAATATATAACGGGTATAACATATTTATTTTATTTCCAAGTAGCACAGTTGCATGAGCAACTGTGTGCCAGAGAAAAATATACAGCCTCGTTCAGTTTTAAGTTTGTTGAAATAAAAATTATTTCCAAGTAAATAGATTATAGCATTGATGTGCAAAATGTTTTTTTAAATTTTTTTTGCTCAACCTGGATTAGTTTTATGAGCAACTGGACAAATTTTTGGAGCACCAGATCGTCTTAGCAATTGATCTTGATGGGGTGTTTTTTTTGTCCAGTTTGAAAACAGATGTGATTTTCAGAATTGAGATGGAAGCTACAGCCTTTTGTCTGAAATGGTCTCCTGCTTCAATGGGGTCAGACTAGAAGACCTCCAAGGTCCCTTCCAACTCTGTTATTTTGTTAAATTTGTTAAACGACTGTACCAAAATTGCTAGGGTCTAAACCCTAAGGGACGCTGTGCCTCATCACGACACTGAGCTTGTCGATCGAAAGGTCGGCAGATCAGCGGTTCGAATCCCTAGTGCCGCGTAATGGGGTGAGCTCCCGTGACTTGTCCCAGCTTCTGCCAACCTAGCAGTTCGAAAGCATGTAAAAAAAATGCAAGTAGAAAAATAGGGACCGCCTTTGGTGGGAAGGGAACAGCGTTCCATGCGTCTTTGGCGTTGAGTCATGCCGGCCACATGACCACGGAGACGCCTTCGGACAGCGCTGGCTCTTCGGCTTTGAAACGGAGATGAGCATCGCCCCCTAGAGTCAGGAACGACTAGCACATATGTGCGAGGGGAACCTTTACCTTTACCTTTAAACCCTGGCATTGAAAGCTAATCCGATCACGAAGTGGCATTATAATAAGAACATTAGTTGTTTGGTATAGCACAAACTATTCTAAAATAAGACCGAGTCGGCAGTGAAAGAGAAGCATCTTGAATGAGTTGGCTTTGGAGTCATGCTTTAAACCTTGTGCCCACAGTTGAGCTCATCTAACCACAATAGGTAGTCTCACTTGCCACTAAAACTTGCGCCCACACCCAATGAGACAGCTGGAAGGTCAACTCACGGATGGGTGGGGGAAATTGATGAGATGCCCAAAATGTAGAGAAAAAAAAATAGAGCAAAAACTTATTTGTGCGAGACCGGGAATGGAAAGAAGATGAGAGAAGAAAAATAGGTGGAAGGAAAATTACCCATGTCACCATATCTTGGAGGGAAATTTGTTTTGTGTGTGTATGTGTGTTTTTTTTAATTTGATTTATATGCCGCCCTTCTCCGGAGACTCAGGGCGGCTTACAATGCGTTAAGCAATAGCCTTCATCCTTTTGTATATTTATACAAAGTCAGTTTATTGCCCCCATAATCTGGGTCCTCATTTTTACCTACTTTAGAAAGGATGGAAGGCTGAGTCAACCTTGAGCCTGGTGAGATTTGAACTTACAGTAATTGCAGGCAGCAGATGTAAATTGATATTAATTAGTCTGCTGAGCCACCAGAGCTTTTCAGTTTGTTGTATTGCAGCCACTCAAAACACAACCCATTTTCTATCATTAGAGGGTTTTTTATTTCATCAGGAATTCTGGAATTTTTTTTAAAAAAAAACTAAATGTTTTTACGATCTGAAAAAGTTTGAAAACCTCTAGTCTAGAATAGAGATAGGAAGGCCTGGGGGCGGAAACTGAAAAATTGGGGGGAAGGTAAAGGCAAAGATAAAGGTTCCCCTCGCACATATGTGCTAGTCGTTCCTGACTCTAGAGGGCGGTGCTCATCTCCATTTCAAAGCCGAAGAGCCAGCGCTGTCCAAAGACTTCTCCGTGGTCATGTGGCCGGCATGACTCAACGCCAAAGGTGCACGGAACCCTGTTCCCTTCCCACCAAAGGTGGTCCCTATTTTTCTACTTGCATTTTTTATCTGCTTTTGAACTGCTAGGTTGGCAGAAGCTGGGACAAGTCACGGGAGCTCACCCCGTTACGCGGCACTCGGGATTCGAACCGCTGAACTGCCGACCTTTCAGTCAACAAGTTCAACGTCTTTCCTTTCTTCTTGAGCTGAATATTGCTGTTTGCTAAGTCATGTCCGACTCTTCGCGACCCCATGGACCACACCATGCCAGGGCCATCTGTCCTCCACTGTCTCCTGGAGTTTGTCCAAATTTGTGTCCATTGCATCGATGACACTATCTTAAACAAGGTGGCACAGTGGTTAGAGTATAGTATTGCAGGCTAACTCTGCCCACTGCCAGCAGTTCAATCCTGACCGGCTCAAGGTTGACTCAGCCTTCCATCCTTCCAAGGTGGGTAAAATGAGGACCCAGATTGTTGGGGACAAGAGGCTGACTCTGTAAAGTGAGTGCTTTAGACCAGTATGAAGCAGTATATAAGTCTAAAGGCTATTGCTATTCCTCCCTTCTTCCTTCCTTCCTTTGTTTCTTTCTTTTTCTTTCTTTTCTTCCTTCTCTCTTTCCCTTCCCTTTCTTTCTTTCTTTCCTTCTTTTTCTCTTTCTTTCTCCTTCCTTCTCTCTTTTTTTTTCTCTCCTCTCCTCTCCCTCCCTTCCTTCCTCTCTAAATCCCTTTTTCATTCTCCTTCCTGGTGGCAGAGTGGTTAAGAGCGCAGTATTGCAGACTAACTCTACATTCCACTGCCAGCAGTTCGATTCCAACTGGCTCAAGGTTGACTCAGCCTTCCATCCTTCCAAGGTTGGAAAAATGAGGACCCAGATTGTTGGGGGCAAAATACTGACTCTGTGAACCACTTAGAGAGGGCTGTGAAGGGGTATACAAGTGCTGTTGCTGGTACTATCTCTGCCGTCCTCTCCTCCTTTGGCCTTCCATCTTTCCCAACATCAGGGTCTTCTCCAAGGAGTCCCTCTCTTCTCCTTAGGTGGCCAAAATTATTTGAGCTTCAGCTTCAACATCTGTCCTTCCAAAGAACAGTCACAGTTGATTTCTTCTAGGATTAGAACTGACCTGGATACTGACAGATGTTATTTGTTCCACATGCTCTTTTTATCAGTCCTTACATCACCAAGGCCAACCCTGTAAATTCAGTTAGACAAATAGCCCACACGTGTGTCGAAAATTCAAGTACGTTTCAGTTACACAAGCGAATTCGCCTTCGGATGAAGGGAAGGTTGATAGCAGTTGGAAAGAAGGATTAGTAACAAGATCCTCGAGACCAAATGCTATCTGCTGGCAGTCCAGGGGAACAATCTCTACTATGCGGTGTAGGAGTTGCTGCAGCCTTGAAATATTCGCCTTTTGCAAGAAGGAAATTTCACTGATTTGCATTGCAAATGCAGATTTGCAAAGCATTTTTTGGAGGGGAAATAGCCTTGCAACCTTCGATCACTTCTTTGCAGCATCTTCTCTCTAAAAGAAAAGTTTTCCCAGATAATATTGCTTACAGAACGTTCTGATACGAACATTTTATCTGTTAAGCCCTGTTTTTAGCTATGCAAGGTCGTGTGTAAGTGAAGGGGAAGTGAAAACCTCCCTCTGATCCGAGCTTTTCTGGGGATTAGAAAGAAAATCCACCATTCATTTATTCAGATAGACATTCGCTGTATGTAAAAAAAATTCCCCTATCCAGTCGTATCCGAGTCTAGGGTGTAGTTATGTCTCCATTTCTTTGCTGAAGGACCCACTATTATTTGAAGAAATTTTCCATGGTCATGTATGCCAGCATGGTTATATGCTAAAGTATACACGGATCATTGTTACCTTTTCACCGAAGTGGTACCTATTGATCTACTCGCATTTGCTTGCTTTCGAACTGCTCGGTGGGTAGGAGCTGAGGCGAGAAACGGGAACTCGCCCCATCTCACAGCGCTCGGGTCTCGAACCTATTCGTTTTCCAGCTGACAAGCTCAGCATCTTTAGACTCTGAGCCCCCATTCCCTGTATAGCTTTGAATAAATCTCCTTGTTCCTATCCCGTGGTATGTCCAGAATAATCCTGATCTAATTAACTAAGAGGGTTATTGAAACGATTGCAGAGAATACTTGGGAACTTTTGAAAGAGTTGTGAAATGACGCATTTTTCTCAGTTCATCCTATTCTCCTCCTTACAAGACAATGCCACAAGTTACATACCACCTGATTAGTTAGTTAGAAAGGAAGAACCCGTATCTTTAATACCATCTAATAATAATATTTAGATGTCATTACGTCATAGTCTTTCGTGGTGGGTAGATAACACTTTAAAAAAGCACTCCTGTTACTTTTTTTGTTTGTTTTGTTCTTAGCCATTTTCTAATTTATTTCTGTTTATCAAGTCAGGATGCTGAATTTTAACATCTTCTTTCTTTTATGTTACAGTTGGGAAACATTATCCTGTTTCCAGCCTATTTCGTGATCGGTTTGATCAAGCGACTTTTCTCGAAATCAATGCCTCCGATCACGCTGGAAAACCCAGATGTAAAATATGCATTACGGCTGATCGATAAAGAGGTAACACATAAATTGCTCTCATATTTCTCTCTGTGTGTCTCTCCCTCCCTCCCTCTTTCTCTCCCTCCCTCCCTCTCTCCCCCTCCTTCCCTCTCTCTCCCCTTCTCTCTCCCTCTCCCCCTTCCCTCTCCCTCCCTCTCTCTCCCCCTCCCTCTCTTTCCCCCTCTCTCCTTCCCTCTCCCCCTCCCTCTCTCCCTCTCCCTCCTCCCTCCTCCCTCTTTCTCTCCCTCCCTCCCTCTCTCTCTCTCCCCCATTCCTCCCTCTCTCCTCTTCTCTCTCCTTCCCTCCCTCTTTCTCCCTCTCTTTCTCCCACCCTCCCGCTCCCTCCCTCCCTCTCTCTCCCTCCCTCTTTCCCCCTCTCTCTCCCTCCCTCCCTCTCTCCCTCTCTCCCTCGCTCTCTCTCTCCCTCTCTCTCTCTCTTACAGCAGATTTTTAAAAAATGTTTTAATACCCAAAATGATGTCAGTATGCCCAGGAACCGAGATTGAAGTAGGTAGAATAAACACTTCATACTCCCTAACCGTTGATACGTGGCGGTTTTGCCTATATGATTTTAATTTTTAATTTTATTTCATTGTGATTTGTATTGGAATTTGTCATTTTGTAAGCCGCCTTGAGTCCCCAGGGAGAAAGGCGGCATATAAATCGCAATAATAAATAAATAAAAATAAATATCAACCTTTGGAGCATTGTATGCATTGAGAAATATTGCAAAATGTAGGTTAGTGCTGTGGCCTTTCGTAATACAGAGAGGTTGAAAAACTGGATTTTGCAGCTACCCTCCTTTATATTTAAATTGATTTAGAAATTTCCTATAGACCTCTACTCGCTCACAGGTGGCTGTAAGCCATAAGAAAAGAAAAAAAATTCTACCTTGATGGAAAAATTAGTAATTTTGTGGTCGATGCTGATGTGCAGTGCATGTATCACGTATAATGTGATAAATCAAGCGGAAAATCTCGGGTGTAAAATTGGCGAGCTGGAGATAAAATACACCCATATTTATTATTTCAAACCGACCTCGTAATAATTCTTCCTTGACTGGGCATTTTTTCCTAAAAGGCTAAATCTGCAGCTGCCCTGATTTCTAATTGATGCAAGCCTGTTTGCATAAATATTAAATAGTATTAAATATATGGCTCATTGGAGCTGTCAGCTCACTGCCTTGCATTCTGAAATGTTTCCTCTGTGAACGGAACCCATTATATTTTCTGAATATGTGACCTTAGCTCTGAGTCTGGATCTGATCTGGGTCCCATCCGTGTGTACAACTCCTGAAAGAAGGCTAGTCATGAAACATTAAACAGAGATGAGTACTGCCCCCTAGAGTCGGGAACGACTAGCGCATATCTGCAAGGGGAACCTTTACCTTTATATAGATGCGGCCTTCCCAAAAAGTTTGGGAACTGAAGGGTTTGACTTCCAATTGCACAGTCACGATAGCTCCACAAACAACGAAAGATAGTTAAGCAGGCAGTCTTGGTTAGGTGCTGTTGGGAACCGTGTTTATTTCTTCAGTCCGTCACCGTTCTGAAATGCAGATGATGTATCTTGATTATAAACATTTGGGCCTTGGATGGAGCATGCATAACTCTGCCCCGGTTTTATGAACTTTTATTTCTCTCTTTTCAGCAAGTCAGCCATGACACCCGAAAGTTTCGCTTCGCCCTGCCAAGTCCAAGACATGTTTTGGGGCTTCCTGTGGGTAAGCTGTTATGTTAAAATAAACTATATATATATACTTATCCAAAGGTACTTTGGAAGGGGAATAGGGGAAAAAGTTGACATCATTGGATGGAATTGTGGATTTGAGAAGAAAGTTTCTTTCTTCTTCTTCTTCTTCTTCTTCTTCTTCTTCTTCTTCTTCTTCTTCTTCTTCTTCTTCTTCTTCTCCCTCTCCTTCTTCTTTTTCTTCTTCTTCTTTTTCTTCTTCCTCCTCCTCTTCCTCTTCTTCCTCTTCTTATTCTTCCTCTGTTTCTTCTTCTAATTTTTCTCCTTCTTCCTTCTCTTCCTCTTCTCTTTCTCCTTCCTGTTTTCCTCCTCCTTCTGCTTCCTCCTTCTCTCTTCTTCTTTTTCCTTTCTTCTTCTTTCTCCTCCTCCTCCTCCCTCTTCTTTTCCCTTTCTTTCTTTCTTCCTCCTCCTCCTCTTTCTGCATCTATATCTTATTGATTTATCTAGTCAATTATTTCTCTATCCATCTCTATCTCTATGTATCTATATCCATTTTCCAGCATTTAAAATCTTTCTCCTCCTCCTCCTCTTCTTCTTCATCAGTTCTTCTTCCTTCTTGTTTTCCTCCTCCACCTCCTCCTGCATCTATCATTGATTTATTTAGATATCAATTATTTCTCCATCCATCTCTCTCTATCTCTCTATATTTATCCATCTTCCAGCATTTTAAATCTTTCTTTTTTTTCCTTTTTCTTCTTCTCCTTCTTCTTCTTCTTCTCCTCCTCTTCCTCTTCCTCTTCTTATTCTTCCTCTGTTTCTTCTTCTAATTCTTCTCCTTTTTCCTCCTCTTCCTCTTCTCTTTCTTCTTCCTGTTTTCCTCCTCCTTCCTCCTTCTCTCTCTTCTTCTTTTTCCTTTCTTCTTTCTTTCTCCTCCTCCTCCCTCTTCTTTTCCCTTTCTTTCTTCCTCCTCCTTCCTCCTTCTCTCTCTTCTTCTTTTTCCTTTCTTCTTCTTTCTCCCCTCCTCTCTCTTCTTTTCCCTTTCTTTCTTCCCTCCTCTTCCTCCTCACTTCCCGCCCCCCGCTTAATTTATTGCTTGGTTTATTTTTTATTTCTTTAAAGTAAAGCTCTGTTAGCTAGAACGAAGAGTGTATTGGCGGTGGAAAAATCCTGCCTAAATTTAAACCGATTTGGACCTGCTCTCTAAATGAACAGGAGAATTCATCCACGAGGACCGAAACCCAACCCAGAATAAAAACACAACCGAACCAATAACAGAAGGAAACACAACAGTCTTGCTAAGTAGGGGACGATCAAATGCTAACCTAATCCTCACCGGTGAATTTCCACAGGCTATTATTCCACCCTCGATATTCTTTGGATCTTTGGCAAAGAATATTTGATTGTTTACTTCTCCTGGTGCCACCCGACTCCCACTGTGGCCACACACACACACACAAAAAAAACAACCCCGAGAACACGATTGTGATTGTTTACAATTTGTGGCTGGGAGATAAGACCTGGAAAGGTATCAAGCGAATTTGCAACCATGGCTTCCGTGTTTTTGTTTCGGCCTTCCTTGCTTCCCTCAGTTGCCGAGCGGAATCCGTAATTAGGAACCAGCTGCTCCTCTCCTCTGCCAGAGGCATTTTGCGCCGGGAAGCAGGTGTGGTGTGTTTGTGTGTGCTTGTGCCTTGCAACACACGGGAGTACTGTAAACTTCAAGGATACGAAGAATTAAAAATCGTCTTGCGCTGCGTCTCTATCTCTCTCTAAAAGACCCCTAGCGCTAATCGTAACGTTTGCTAGGAATTTATCCAGGATAACGGTGCAAAACAACGATCAGTTATCTTTTTGGAGGCTGCGCGCTCAAGTATTGATTGGCTTTATTTATTCGACAATATTTTTAGCTGTCCCCAGCGGTAGGTTTCACATTTTGTTACCACCGGTTCACCCCGCGCGCGCACAGTTGCTTCTCACGCGTGTGCATCGTCCACGCATGTGCCCGGCCTTCCGTGCATGTGCTTTGCTCACTTGCATGCGCCCAACCTCAAAAACGTGCCTAAATAGGATGGCATGGAGCCAGGGCAGATGGGTGAGCCCACGCCCACCCGTGATTTCCACTATCGGTGCACCCAAACCGGTCCAAACCGGTTGAATACCGTCTCTGGCTGTTCCCCTTTCTTCCCCATCCCTCCCGCCACCCAAAAATAATCAGGCCAATTATAGTTTTGCTCAGGGGTGAAATCCAAAATTTTTCCCTACCAGTTCTGTGGGCGTGGCTTGGTGGGAGTGGCAGGGGAAGGATATTCCAAAATCTCCATTCCCACCCCACTCCAGGGGAGGGATACTGCAAAACCTCCATTCCCACCCCTCCTGGGGGAAGCATATTGCAAAATCCCCATTCTCACCCCACTCTGGAGCCAGCCAGAGGTGATATTTGCCGGTTCTCTGAACTACTCAAAATTTCCGCTACCGGTTCTCCAGAACCTGTTAGAACCTGCTGGATTTCACCCCTGGTTTTGCTTTCAGTACAGGCTGTCCTTACAACAGTTCGTTTAGTGAATGTTGTTTACAACAGCACTGAAAAAAGGTACTTACGACCATGTTTCACACTTACGACGGTCACGTGATCCAAATTTAGACGCTGGGCAACTGACTCGTCTTTATGACAGTTGGAACGCACCCCCCCCCCCCCGGGGTCACCAGATCCCCTTTTGTGACCGTCGGACCAGCAAAGCCAATGGGGGAATCCAGATTCATTTAACAACCCTGTGACTAATTTAATGACCGCAGTGATTTCCTTAACAGGTGCGGCGAGAAAATTCATAAAATGGGGGGCGAAGTCACTTAGCAAATGTTTCACTTAGCGACAGGAATTTGGGGTTCCATCGAAGACTACCGATTTGCTAGGAATTAATCTGGAAGATTTATCGGATTGATCTGGAAGATTAATTCGATTAATCTGGAAGATTAATTGGGGCAAACAATTTCAATTCTCTTTTTTGAGGCTGGATGTTGATGCTTTGATTAGTTTTATTTATTTGACAATATTTTTAGCACTCCCCCCTTCTTCCCCACCCCTCCCCACCCCCACCCCCGAAAAATCAGGCCAATTTTCATTTGGCTTTCTGTACAGAAAGTGCTACAGCTGACTAACAGCTTTTCTCTCCTGCTAACAGCTTTTGGGCCTCTTGTCAAAAGCCGGCAGCAATTATTTTCTAAAGAATGGATCTCAGGGTTTTTACCTTTTTTATTAAGCAAGTTTTAATTGCAGGGGGGAGGAAGAGGGGGTACAAGACTTCCCACCACTGAATTGTTTCCCACATAAAAAAATCAATATGTTAAGGTAACGTCTTAGTATATAGCTGGAGTAAGGTGGAGGGGTTTTTTGTATTTTTTTTGCAAAGTCAGGATACTCATAAGTTCAAAATTTCCAAATATCTAGGCCAGGGGTCTACAACCTTAAATGTTCAAATGAGTCATTTGGACCCGTTTCCCACAGAAAAGAAAACACCGGGAGCCACAAAACCTGGGTGGGCGTGGCCAACTCGATGTCACTCACTTCCACCAGTCACATGACACACACCCCGCCACGCCTACCCAGCCGGTCATTAGGGCAGAGAACCAGTTGTTAAAAAACACCGGGAACCACAAAAACCTTCCTCTCTCCCTCTCTGAATCTCTCTATGTCTCTCTCTCTCCCGCTCTCTCTGTATCTCTCTGTCTCTGCCTTGGCCGCTTCTCCATCCCCCGCCATCACTTCTCAGGCCAGGCGAGAAGTGACTGGGAGGAGAGCGCGAGGGGCGGGGCCAGCCAGTGATGGGATCACCTGTCAGGGAGCCACAGCAGAGGGCCCAAAGAGCCACATGCGGCTCCGGAGCCGCAGGTTGCTGACCCCTGATCTAGGCAGTCCTTTGCGTATTGCTCCAAGGGCTCCTATTACTATTGGTGCAACCACCGATTTCTTCCTCCACACTCGCTCAACTTCAGTTTGCAAATCACGGTATTCCGTTATTCTTTCCACCTGTTTCTCTTCCATTCGTGCCTCCCCCAGTATTGCATTATCAATGAACCAGGCCCTTTTTTCTTTTTCCTTTCTACAATAGTGATGCCAGACGTCTGTCCCACAGGATCTTCACCTGTTCATTTTCAAGAACTTTGTCAACTTTGTGTTGTTATTATTATTGTTGTTGTTGTTTAAGATTTAATCTTCCATTCATTTCGCAGTCTGGGACTGTTAAAAACTTCACAGTTCAAATCCTAACCAAAGACTTAAGAGCTGTTAAAGTAATGCCTGAATAGATAGGCAGTTCTGATGGTGGTGATGATGATGATTGTTGTTGTTGTTGTTGTTGTTGTTGTTGTTGTTGTTGTTGTTGTTATTATTATTATTATTATTATTATAAACTTGTATTCATTGAATATGAAACTCAGTCAACTGAATATTTAAAAATGTATCACAAATATGAGTGATTGGTGCTAATGGTTGATACGGGTTGCTGCCAGCGTCCTAGGTATCAATCAAGTACCTTCTTAAAATATATGATGTTCCGAGTAGCACAGTGTCAGGTTTCAAGGTCGTCTCAAATAAATTGCATTTCAAACAAAGTCTTTGAAGAAAAACTCCTATTTATTAAGCACGACATTCTAATCCGACTCCATAGAAGCCAACACTGACTTCCAGACCCAAAACCCTCCCTTTCTGTTTCCCACTCCCCTGCACTCATTGGCCATCTTCCAAGTCATTCTACCCGTAATCTACTGCTCCAGCTCAAAAGAATTTCCCCCCTCCCATCCCATCTCCTAGGGGATATTATCTCCAGGGAAAATAAGTAGGTGAAAAGTCAAACGTCCCTTTCCAGACGCCTCCGCCTCTCCTTCTTATGTCAGCACTAGAGTAAATGCAGCTTGAAGTGCTGACACACAGTTTTTTGCAGTTCCGCTGGTGTTATTTCAGGAAGCTGCAATTTCTTGAAGTGTTTTGGGAAATTCTTGGACATGGTACCAGGCGCCCCGATGACAATGGGTATCACTGTGACATGGCTTTCATCCATAGCCATGCAGTTTCGATGGCCAGGTCGCGATATTTCATGATTTTTTCCAGTTCTTTTTCTTCGACTCTGGCATCTCCTGGTACCGCGATGTCAATAAATTGTACGTTTCGGTTTTCGGCAACTGTGATATCTGGCGTCTTGTGTAAAATTCTTAGACATGGTACCAAGTGCTCCGATGACAATGGGTATTATTATTATTATTATTATTATTATTATTATTATTATTATTATTATTATTATTATTATTATTATTATCATCATCATCATCAAATGCAAACTAGTTCCATAAATAATGAGGCAAAGCCAAGCGAAGGAGGCTGAACGATGATCCGTCTTGTTTCATCGTTTGAATGTTTTGCTTGGCCTCTAGGGCAGCATATTTACCTCTCGGCCAGGATCGACGGGAATTTGGTGATCAGACCTTACACACCGGTCAGCAGTGACGACGACAAAGGATTCGTGGACCTGGTTGTGAAGGTAAAAGCTTTGCGATAAACCATCTTTTAAATATATATGGCGTAATGGTCTATCTGCGTTGAGCAGCATGGATTTGTAGGCATCTGAATGACTTCGTCTTTCTCTCCTGCACATTCAGTTTTAAAGCTATTTTCTCCCCTATAGATCTATTTCAAAGGAGTTCACCCCAAATTTCCCGAAGGGGGGAAAATGTCCCAGTATCTGGAGAACCTGAAGATGGGGGACACCATTGATTTTCGGGGACCTAGTGGATTGCTCGTTTACGAGGGAAAAGGTGAGGCTCTGGAAACTGAATATCAAGTCACCTTCCTCTCTTGATTTATCCTACAAGGAGTTCTCGAACTTACGGCTGTTGTGGAACCTGCCCATCACAGCCATCATGTGACCGATCCCATTTTACGACCATTTTTTCGGGGTTGTAAATGAATGTGGCGGCAAGCGTGGTGGCGAAGGGGCCACAGTGGTTCTTAAGCCATAGTTTACTATGGGAGTGGTTTTGCCAAAAACTGGATGTAAACACCAACTTTTGGCGAACACGTTTAGGTGACCATGGTTGTAAATACATCCCAGTTGCTAAGCAATCAAAGTTCATTCCTGTGACCGCAGGGGAGGGCGCAACTGGCATGATTTTGAAGTAGCCCCCAAGTTGGTCCATTGTGGCTTCGAACGGTTGAAAGTCAAGGAGCAATGCAGGCAGAGGTGGGCTACACATAATTTAACCGGTTTGCCCAGTGCAGAACCATAAATACAAGCGTGCACTCGCGCTTGGGGGGAGGCTTCAAACACACAGCGATTTCATGCGCGCGGCAGTGGTGGGTTCCTCCCAGTTCCGCCAAGCCGGTAGCAGTGATGATATGACGTCACCGAACTGGTTCTGTCCCCCCTCCCACCCACCCACCCCCACCTGTTATTCTTACCTTTATTTGGCCCCACCCCCAATCTATTGCTGCCTCCTGAGTCCCAGCTGATCGGCTAGAAGGAAAAAAACTGTTTAAACTCTTGCCGCGGGGCTTCAAAGGGCCGCCCTACAGCTGATCAGTGATAAAAGGCAGTTTGGTAGTAGACCAGTGCCTCCAAAAACAAATGAGTAGACCGGTGCCTGCAAAAATAAATGGGTAGACCAGTGCCTGCAAAAATACATGAGTAGACCGGTGCCTGCAAAAATAAATGGGTAGACCGGTACACCTCTGCAAGCAGTTAAAAGCCTGGTAGACCAGTACCTCTGCTAAATCCTAAAGAATTGTCACATGACCATCAAGCCACGCCCACAAAATAAACCACGCCCACAGAACCAGTAGTAAAAAAATTTAGAACCCACCCCTGGCACACGGGTTCCAGCACATCTTCTCGGGCAGCCGCAGTGAGTAGAGCGGGCGAGGTGCCGAAATCAGCTGGATAGCGTGGGCGGGGCGAGCGAGCCAGAGAGTGAGATATATAGGACGGGATAGCACCAGGGCGGGGGGGCGGGCCCAGCCGGTGGTCAGAACTACCGGTTCGCCCGAATCTGTCCAAAACCGGAAGTAGCCCACCTCTGAATACAGGTTAAATTTGGACAATTTTCTGCATTGTGGGTTGTTGTTTTTTTTTAATAGATATTTGGCAAGTATTCCTCATTGGGATTAGGAGTGGGTAAAAGATGTCAAATCTGACATCGATGGGCTTGGATTCGAGGCGTTTGGCGTGCTGCCAGTCCACTTCCTCATCCCTGTTTTTTGGGGGGATTTTTTCCCCTCCAGGTGTGTTTGCGATTCGTCAAGACAAGAAATCCCAACCCGTTCTTAAGGAGGTGAAATACGTCGGGATGATTGCAGGTGGAACAGGTACTCCCAAAATGGTGTTTTCCCGCCTTTGCTTATTCAATGGGATGTGTCAGGTGCCAAGAATTATCTGTTAACTTCTAGTTAAGATGATTTTAGTGACCATGCCTCCTCACAAGGATCTGGTCAATTAATATTCAGCATTAATTTTTTTTTTTTAAATTTGATTTATATGCCGCCCTTCTCCGGAGACTCAGGGCGGCTTACAATGCATTAAGCAATAGCCTTCATCCTTTTGTATATTTATACAAAGTCAGCTTATTGCCCCCACAAACTGGGTCCTCAATTTACCTACCTTAGAAAGGATGGAAGGCTGAGTCAACCTTGAGCCTTGGCGAGATTCGAACCTGCAGTAATTGCAGGCAGCTGAATGATAATAACAGGCTATTAGTCTGCTGCGCCACCAGGCTCTTTTGGCACTAGATAAAGAGTCGATGGAATTCAAGAGGGGTTGGAGTTCGAACGTTTGTGGCGGTATAAGGATTCCAGGCTGATGGCTCATTTAACTCTACCTCCAATTCTGACTTCCCTTCTCCTGCAGATCTGGATAAGATTAATTTAACCATTTCTTTCTTTCTTTCTTTCTTTCTTTCTTTCTTTCTTTCTTTCTTTCTTTCTTTCTTTCTCTCTCTCTCTCTCTCTCTCTCTCTCCCTCTCTCTCTCTCTCCCTGCCTCCCTCCCCTTTATCTCTCCCTTCCTCCCTCCCTTTCTCTTTTCTTTCTCTCTTCTCTTTTTCTCCCTCCCTCCTTCCCTTCCTCCCTCACTTTATCTTTCTCCCCCTTCCTCCCTCACTTTATTTCTTCTCTCCCTTCGTCTCTCTCTCCTCTTTTTCTCTCCCTCCCTTCTTCCCTTTATCTCTCTCTTTCCTGTCACTCCCTTTATCTCTCTCTCCCTCTCTCTCCTCTCTTTTTCTCCTTCCCTCCCTCCCCTTATCTCTCTTTCTCTCTCCTCTTTCTCTCCCTTCCTCCCTTTATCTCTCTTTCTCACCCTCCCTCCTTTTATTTCTCTCTCCCCCTCCCTTTATCTATCTATTTCCTACCCTCCCTCACTTTCCCTCCCTCCCTCTCTCTTTCTCCCCTCTTTCTCTCCCTCCCTATCTCTATCTCTAATCTCTTCCCTCAAGGAATTACTCCCATGTTGCAACTCATTCGAGCGATTGTAAAGGACAAGGAAGATCCCACCGTTTGTCATTTACTCTTTGCTAACCAGGTAGGATCATTTTCTTTGCTCCCTTTCTAAGGAGAGCAGAGAGCATATCGGGCCGATGGCAGTATGTTATGGAGAATAAATAAAATAGGTGCTGATATTTCATGCTTGCAATATTCAAGCCTCATGTAGGTTTACGCAGGATATTTATTCCGCCATTTTCATTAGACCGTATTTTCAAAAGAAGCGTAAATGAAATTGTAGCCTTGCTTTTATATCTTTCCAGTTGCTACAAGCAAGAGACTGGTTCAGCAATTTTTGTAATATTCCAGCTTCACTCTGGATCCTTTCATTTTCATTTTTGGGGGGAAATAATGAGAAAAATGCTTAAGTTAAGTGTTTTTTTTTTTTTTCAAAAGGCAACTGGACTTTTTGGTTTTTTCTTTGAAGACATTTCGCTTCTCATCCAAGAAGCTTCTTCAGATCTTACTGGATAGTGGGGAATGGAAGGATTGATACTCCTTGCGGATAACTGGTCGTTTGCATCCTTTTAGAGAGTCATTGAGGCTGGTTGGAGGTCTATCTGTGTCCTCAGGGTCACCTGAGTAGAGAAAATGGGTGTGGAGCCTTCTTGGAACTGCTGAAAGGAACTGCAGAACCTTTTCAGCAGTTCCAAGAAGGCTCCACACTCATTTGCACTACTCGGGTGGCCCTGAGGACACAGATAAACTTCCACGTGGCCTCAACGTCTCCCTAAAAGGATGCAAATGACCAGCTGTCTGCAAGTAATATAAATCCTTCCATTCCCCTCCATCCAGTCAGAACCGAAGAAGCTTCTTGGATGAGAAGCAAAACATCTTCAAAGAAAAAGAAAGTCCAGTTTCCTCTTGAAAAAAGCACCTTTGGGACAACCATGACCTGGATGAGTGAGAATCTCCATAGATACTTACCGTACTTTTCAGAGAATAAGACGCACCGGAGTATAAGACGCACCTAACTTTTTTGGTGAGGAAAAGAAGAAAAAGAAATCTCCCTCTGCCTCTTAGCAATTTTGCCTCGTTGCAGCCAACAGCCTGCTTTACTTTCATTTTCGTTTTCAGCATAGCTTGATTAGCACAAGGGGGAAAAAAAAAATCTGCTCCAGCAATTTACCTCCTTGCAGCAAGCAGCAGAGCCCTGCGCAAAACAGCTGAGAGCAAATCAGCTGAGAGTCAGGAGGCCGATCCAATCAACTTGTGCTAATTAGGCTGTGCTGAAACTGAAAGGAGCTGTTTTTTCTTGCTGTTTGCTTGCAAGGAGGTAACTGCTGCGAGGCACAGGCCAAAGGGTGGGGGCCAGTGGGTGGGCGGGGCTACATTCTGTGTATAAGGCGCATCTAAATTTTCACCCCCTTTTAGGAGGGGGAAAAGGTGCATCTTATATTCCGAAAAATACGGTAAGTTAGCTGCTTCTAGTGGAAATTTTGTTAATGCAAGAACAGAGAAAATACATTTCCCTCTACACCAAGCTAAAAATCTCCAATTAAGTCGTTCTCACACGAGTGATTTGATAGTCGTAAATCCTCTCAACCAGAAATGGTTTAAAGTGTTCTAGACAGAAAACCGAATTAAATAGATTCATTTCAGAACTGAGTAGAACACTTCGGCATGGTGATTAACAGCTCAGAACAAATGCTTTTCAATTCAGTGTAATTACTCTGAACTTAATAGTACAGCGTCGTTCAGGAGTTATTTTTTGAGCAGACTCAATGATTACTGCTAGTGGTGAACCTTTTTTGAGGTTTAAAATTTTGCTTGTTTTGCTTTTTGTTTCCTGGTCTGTCTGTTTGTCTTCTGTCTGTCTGTCTGGATGGATGGATGGATAGTGGGTAGGTGGATGGATGGATTGGTGTGGATGGATGGATGGAAGGAAGGAAGGATGGATGGATGGATGAGTGGATCGGTGGGTGGATGGGTAGATGGGTGGATGGATAAGTGGATGGATGGATAAGTGGGTGGGTGGATGGGTATGGATGGAAAGAAGAAAGGATGGATGGGATGAACAGATGATCAATGGATGGATGGATGAGTGGGTCGGTAGATAGATGAATGTATAAGTGAGTGGTGGATGGATAGATGGATAAGTGGGTAGATGGATGGATGGATTGGTGTGGATGGATGGAAGGATGGATGGATGGATGGATGGAAGGAAGGAAGGATGGATGGATGGATGGATGAGTGGATCGGGTGGGTGGATGGGTAGATGGGTGGATGGATAAGTGGATGGATGGATGGATAAGTGGGTGGGTGGATGGGTTTGGATGGAAGGAAGGAAGGATGGATGGATGAACAGATGATCAATGGATGGATGGATGAGTGGGTTGGTAGATGGATGAATGTATAAGTGAATGGATGGATGGATGGATGGGTGAGTGAGTGAGTGGAAGGAAGGACGGATGGACCATCCACAATCAAACAAATTTTGATGGTTTAAATTTTGCTTCCAGGGTGGTTCGCTTTAGCTCTGGTTTCGTGGGATTTTTTTAAAGAGGGAATCGATATTCTAAGTTGTTCAGTGACGAATGTGTGAGATAAAACGGCAATATTGTTGTTTCCGGGACAGACCGAAAGTGACATCTTGCTGCGCTCAGAACTTGAGGAAGTACGAGCTCAACATTCAGCCCAGTTTAAGCTGTGGTACACATTGGACAGAGCCCCTGAGAGTAAGTAATCCAGCATACGGTTAAAATTAGAGGATGCTACAACATTCTGCTTAGTGGCTGGATATATAACAGAGCCCTGTAAAATTTTCGTGGAGCCACACCTAACTCCTGATGGCCGTGTGATTTCTTGCTGTCTTCCGATGTTTTTCCAGCTCACTACCCTAGTTTGCAATCCTAGGATTGTCCCATCCACATATTAACCCATGCTTGACCTCAGTTTGATTTAAACCCTCATCTGTTTCGGATGGTTATCTACCATCTATGGACCTTCCTCAATTCCAACTCAACTTCTGGGGATCTATTAGAAGCCTCCATATTGTTTTCTTGGCAAGTCTTCAAGAGATGGTTGACAGTAGGTTCTTCTGAAACTGATATGTCTGCAAGAAAACCATCAAGCTCTCATAGCACAAAGGACCCCCCAGTCCTCCTCCCCTTTTCCTTCTCCTCCATTCCGTAAACCTCACTTTTTTCTACCCCTGACGAGGTGATCTAGTTGGGTCATGAAACGTCTGCAAGAAAGCCACCAAGCTCAGAGAGCGCCAAGGACCCCATAGCTCAACCCTGAGCTACAGATACTTTCTTGTATCAAACCCAAATTAGGGAACCCCCCTCAGATTGGCAATTTTCATAATGGCCCCTTTGATCAAACATTGAAGAGTATCATTAAGAGAAATTACAGCTAAGTGTAGGGCCCGGTGTCTCAACCCCAAGGATTAGTAGACTCCTATAGGTGTCTCATAGAAGGTTCTGGGTACAGAGTGATCCAAAATTTGCCCACTGCAACCTCAGACTAGGGTATTGTCAACTCGCAAAGCATCCGTGGCCTGCTCTCAAGTTGCCATAGGCAAGGTGGATGAGAAACAGACGAAGCAGCACAGCAGCCAAAAACAGAAGCACATTCCAGACACATCTCTCAAGGCTGTCTCCCAGGGTTACCCACAGCGGCTTGAGGGGAGTGATCTCTACAACCCGCGAAATTGCTCCATTGGCAAATGTGACAACACACCCTGGGGGGGGAGGAGGAAAACAGGGTCATGATTGGGCCGTAAATTATGTGGGGTCAGAGTTGGCTTGCTGTTCATGCATTCAGGCAGGTCTGTTCAATGATAGAAAGTTTGAAAATATTCTAGTTTTTAGAGTTAAAAAATGTGCCCACCATACTGTTCAATCATGAGAAAGGGATGGAATTGATGGAAGGTGCTGTAGATGAAGAAACATTTGCCCTCCCGTCTATTTCAAAGCCCCCCCCCCCTTTGAAGATCCTGGGTGCTTTTTGTTGCTTTTTTTTTTTTTGAAAGAGATAATAAGAGAAACGTGGTCTTTCCCAACACAGAGTGGGATTACAGCCAAGGTTTCGTGAACGAAGATATGTTGAAGGAACACATGCCTCCACCCCAAGATGACGTCCTCATCCTGATGTGCGGCCCACCGCCCATGATCCAGTACGCTTGCATTCCCAACCTGGAGAAATTGGGTTTCACCAAGGAGATGTGGTTTATTTACTAACTGGGAGTCAGGATAAAGTAGAAGGAGGGAGGAGGAGGGGAAAGAAGGAATGGAACTCTTGGGAATAAAACAGGGTAACGGAAACTAACTTCGGTAAATAGAAGTGGAACCGACGTTCAGAGGAATTCCAACTCGCGCCCTCTTGTGTCTTTTTAATCCTGGCAAGCGGAAGCCTCAGCTAGACTGATTAACTGTGTTGTAGATCCTACTCTTTGCTTTGCTCTTGTGTATCAAATCTTGTCCTAAGGCAATTGAAGGAAGTTTGGGTCTTTTCATCCCGGATGGGCAAATGTCACCTGGGCCTCTTGTATCGCCAAAGAGTTTGTTGTGAGATCCAGGGAGAGAAGTGAAGGAGGCGACTTCACTCTCCCTGCTGTTTTCTGCACCAAAGCTTTAAATGCACACCTGTCTTTGCACCAACGTGTGTGTTTGTGTCCTTCTTCATTTGCATGGGGAAGGGGGAGGAGAAATTGCTCGACAGGCCAACCTACATAAACGTACTCGTCTAGCAAGCAGGGAATTGATTGGTTCTGTGCTTCCCAAATTATGGACGTGAAAGAGGGAGGTCCAATCTTGAAATTCTTAATAGGGGCGCACCCCGTAGGACAGAAATGAGGAGTTGGCCTCTACTCTTCCTTCGGGCCTTTGTTTGGGGAGAGAATTTACAGCTGGGCTTTGCGTAGGGTCGAATAAGAGTGTGTATACGGGAGGCTCCCTCAACCGACCATTGTCCGAAGGATGGCCCTAAACACAGAATCATCTCCCAGAAACTTCCGGGGGGGGGGGAGGAATGTCAATTTGGTTGGAGGGATTGAAAGATGGACGATGGGATAGCCAGTTAGTGGAATGAGAAGCATCTATAGGCCGGCTTATCTTTTAAGTACACTCAATGGTGTATCAATCTAAAAGCAGAGGTCTTCAAACTTGGCAGCTTTAAGACTTGTGGACTTCAACTCCCAGAATTCTCCAGCCAGCATAGAGTCTTAAAGCTGCCAACTTTGAGGACCCCTAATCTAAAGGAATTTCTTTAGCTGTTTTCCAAAGTTTCTGTTACGTTATTCTATTATTCAATGATCCTCTTTTAATTAGCTAAACATATACCTATGTTTATTTACATATATGTAGAGGTTACAAAATATATCCATGTATTGTTTCAGTAACCACTCATGCTGGCTGGGGAATTCTGGGAGTTTGAAGTCCGCTTATCTTAAACAGACCAAGGTTGAGTTGAAGTCCACCTAGCTTCAACAGCCCAAGGTTGAGTTGAAATCCACCTAGCTTGAAAAGCCCAAGGTTGAGTTGACGTCTACCTAGTTTAAACAGTCCAAGGTTGAGTTGAAGTCCACCTAGCTTGAAAAGCCCAAGGTTGAGTTGAAGTCCACCTAGCTTCAACAGCCCAAGGTTGAGTTGAAGTCCACCTAGCTTGAAAAGCCCAAGTTTGAGTTGAAGTCTACCTAGTTTAAACAGATCAAGGTTGAGTTGAAATCCACCTAGTTTAAACAGCCCAAGGTTGAGTTGAAGTCCACCTAGCTTCAACAGCCCAAGGTTGAGTTGAAGTCCACCTAGCTTGAAAAGCCCAAGGTTGAGTTGAAGTCTACCTAGTTTAAACAGATCAAGGTTGAGTTGAAATCCACCTAGTTTAAACAGTCCAAGGTTGAGTTGAAGTCCACCTAGCTTGAAAAGCCCAAGGTAGAGTTGAAGTCCACCTAGCTTCAACAGCCCAAGGTTGAGTTGAAGTCCACCTAGCTTGAAAAGCCCAAGGTTGAGTTGAAGTCCACCTAGCTTGAAAAGCCCAAGGTTGAGTTGAAGTCCACCTAGCTTCAACAGGCCAAGGTTGAGTTGAAGTCCACCTAGCTTGAAAAGCCCAGGTTGAGTTAAAGTCCACCTAGCTTCAACAGCCCAAGGTTGAGTTGAAGTCCACCTAGCTTGAAAAGCCCAAGGTTAAGTTGAAGTCCACCTAGCTTCAACAGCCCAAGGTTGATTTGAAGTCCACCTAGCTTCAACAGCTCAAGGTTGAGTTGAAGTCCACCTAGCTTGAAAAGCCCAAGGTTGAGTTGAAGTCTACCTAGTTTAAACAGATCAAGGTTGAGTTGAAGTCCACCTAGCTTCAACAGCCCAAGGGTGAGAAAGCACTGCACTAGATTCTTTGCTCAACTGTTGTCTTGCCGCAAAAATAAAAAAATTTATATCATGCTCCTTCTTGCTTAAAGTGAATAAAACAGCCTTTCTACCTTTTTACTAACCATACCGAGGCCGAAGAACACCGGATCAGTTCATAACAAACAGTTTTGTATTGCTTTACCTGCCTACTCCGCTCTTTGAGTTTTTTTCAACTCTTTGTGGTAGAAATAAAACTTTTTTCCCCCTCCCTTAAGATGCCTTGCGAGTTCTTTTGATTCATTAACGTCGGGTTAAAATCAATTGGAAGGCTCTTGTTTGATCTCCTGTTTTGGTGTTCGCGCTTTTACAAGATGACGTACAAAGAGAAAACATTGAACATGTTGAACATCTAACAAAATGAAATTCAACGGTGGAAAAAAGTAAGGTTCTACATTTAGGCAAGAAGAACAAAACGCACAAGTACAGTATAAATGGTACTTTGCTCAATAGTAGTAATTCTGAGAGTGATCTTGGAGTCCTAGCGGACAATCGCTTAAATACGAGCCAGCCGTGTGCAGCAGCTGCCAAGAAGGCCAACACAGTTCTAGGCTGCATCAACAGAGGGATAGAATCAAGATCATGTGAAGTGTTAATACCACTTTATAAGGCCTTGGTAAGGCCACACTTGGAATAATGGATCCAGTTTTGGTCGCCACAATGTAAAAAAGATGTGGAGACTCTAGAAAGAGTGCAGAGAAGAGCAACCAAGATGATTAGGGGATGATTGGAGGTTAAAACATATGAAGAACGGTTGCAGGAACTGGGTATGTCTAGTTTGATGAAAAGAAGGACTAGAGGAGACATAATAGCAGTCTTCCAATATCTCAGGGGCTTCCCCAAAGAAGAGGGAGTCAAGCTATTCTCCAAAGCATCTCGGGGTAGCACAAGAAGCATTGGATGGAAAGTAATCAAGGAGAGAAGCAACCTAGAACTAAGGAGAAATTTCTTGATAGTTAGAACAATTAATCAGTGGAACAACTTGCCTCCAGAAGTTGTGAGTGCTCCAACACTGGAAGTTTTTAAGAAGATGATGGATAACCATTTGTCTGAGGTGGTGTAGGATTTCCTGCCTAAGCAGGGGGTTGGACTAGAAGACCTCCAAGGTCCCTTCCAACTCTGTTATTCTATTCTATTCTAAAAAGCCAGCATTTTTGAGGGGGCTCATTCAGATCATCATTGACCAGCTTTGCAGGTTTGTCTTCTCGCCCCCTCCCTCCCTCTTGCAACAGGATGAATAATCCAGTAATAAGAATTGGGTTCTGTTTATAAAGGCATCTTCAGAAATTGACATTCTTGGTTCCCTCAAATGGGAGTTGAAAGAAAAGACATAGAATGACACTAATATCCACTCCAGGAGAGAGGGAGAAGGAAGGAAATGGAAAAGAGGGGAAGAAGTAGAGAATGGGAAGGAGGGAGTGGGAAGGAAGGAAGGAAGGAGACAACAGAAAAGGATGAAGGGGAAGAAGAAGGGAATGGGAGGGAAGGAAGGAAGACGATAGTAAAGGACTAAAAAGAAACTACATAAATATTTTGACAGTAATTTAGGTAAAGGGACAGATTTATCTATTGGGAGGCTAGTAAAGCCATTATCATGTGTTACTTTATACAATATCGTCTGGGGGGGGGATTCTGGAAAAGATGCAAAAGATATTGGACGCCATTAGAAAGAAATAGAATTGCATAAGACTCTCAAATTTCGCATCAGATCTATTAATTGATCAATTTATTACGCCAACAATCATCTACGCTAACAGTTCAAGAAACAGAAGTAACATTGAATCAGGTGAAGCAAAGATATTTTGAGTTTGCAAACAAACCAGGAAGATGGTTGGCCTATAGCAGGGGTCAGCAACCTGCGGCTCTGGAGCTGCATGTGGCTCTTTCACTCCTCTGCTGCAGCTCCTTGTCATTCAAAATATGTGTCACAACCACCAATGTGCGACACCCGCCGGCACGTGATTTATTGAGCTTTTCAACCCCCGGTAGGCCAACCATGGATAAATCCAAGAAAAGAAAAGTTTCAGAAGAAAAACAAGAATGTTTAATTCAACTATATATGCTAGTTTTGTGGCCGCTTAAGAAATATCAGGCACGGGAAGGGTTTTGTGGCTCCCGGTGTTTTCTTTTCTATGGGAAACGGGTCCAAATGGCTCCTTGAGTGTTTAAGGTTGCAGACCCCTGGCCTATAGGCTAAGAAAGGAAAGGGAGAAGAGAATAATCGAAAAAAAATCGAGTATTTTCTTTGAAGTTAAACTGCTTAAAGACAAGTTTCGTTTTTAATTTTTTTCTTTAAAAAGAGTGTCCCGTTGGTACTTCGGCTTGGTTTTTAAGGCTCTTGATGAAAAATTATGTCCAACACAAATAAGGATTTGCTGGCATATTGCTTTGGAATATTCCTTTTTCTGCAATCACATTTTCCAACAGAGAGGAAAAAATGACTCCAACATTCCAGCTAATCTGATCCAAAAAAAACAACAACCCTTCCTTCTCTTGCAAGTTAAAAAATTAGTAATAATAACCTGGTGTAATTTTTCCTCCTTCCTCCCCATTTCAATCCGATGAGTAGTTTGGAGAGAGCAATTCAACTCTTACTCATAATATTCCTAGGGAATGTATGAATCACGCTTGCGGTGTGGTTATTTTGGTTAGCCTGAGTAGCAGGCACAACACACAAATACAGAAATGTGGATTAGGGTCTCTGCAATTAATACGTTTTGTTCCGGAACCAGACGGGGGTGAAATGCTCCCGGTTCAGATTGGATCGCCCGATCCGGTAGTGATCGCGGCGGATGGTTCGGAGAACCGGTAGCAAAAATCCCTGCCCCCCTCCCATGCCCAGCTGAGCCGTGCAATCATCAGAAGTTGTTTTCTTTACTTTTAAAAGCATTTTTCTACAACCTCTTCGGCCGAAAAAAATGCTTTTAAAAGTAAAAAAAAACAACAACAACCTCTGATGATCGCGGGCTCAGCTGGGATCGTCAGAGGCTTTTAAAAGCATTTTTTTACAACCTCTTCGGCCAAAGAGGTTGTAGAAAATATGCTTTTAAAAGTAAAAAAAAAAAAAAAAAGTTGGCCACGCCCACCCAGTCACATTAACCCCCCACCCACCAAGCCACATCCACAGAACCAGTAGTAACAAATTTTACATTTCACCACTGGAACCAGGTTATAGAAGAGGGAGCCAGTCATAGGCTGAGACGCTTCCTACAGGATTTGATGGCTCTTAGTCAAAGAACTCATGGCAAAAAAATAAAAATCCATGGATGTTTAGAAAATACTTTTTCCTTTATTACTTTGTCACCAAAGTGGCGTTGCTAAGTGCCTCAATTATTTATT